ACCAACAACCCTGTTGTCGTCCATGGAGGCTGCCCTAAGGCAATACACATCGGGAAAAAAAAAAAGACAAAGACAACGTTGACAATTACATCTTCGCAAAGAAAAAGATAACGTTGGTGTGTCGCAAAGAAAAAGACAACGTTGATGATTACATCTTTGCAAAAGCAAACAAAGAAGAAAACAGGAGGGGGTACAACTTCCCTAGCCTTTTCTCTCTTTCTTGTTGGGATAAAAATTGCTCTCTAAATTTATTTAACTTCCTACTTAAGGTAAGCTTAAATAAGTTCTAGAAGTATTTGGTTTCCGTTTCCTAGAAAACTTAAACTCCAGGTCAAGGTGGAGAATCTACATCAAATCAGGAAACAACACTCTGCTCATTTACTCAACTTGAGACTTCTACACCTATTTTGTGTGCAGCCAGTAGGTGTGGGAGTATATGTGCAGCAAAAAATAAACCAAAAATTTAAAAGGCGACACGTGAACTTTTTCCCCGAAAAATATAGAATTGCCATCATAAAATGGGCAGGGCACACAAATATTCCCACGTATAACTTAACATCCTTGGAGGCCTGAGTAGCTAACCATGACTATACCAAGCTTTAATGTTCGTGGCATCAAAAAGTCAAAGGCATTAAAGATAGGATTAATCACCAAATCCGATCTTTAATACATTCTGATTGAAGATCAACTCAAACAAGTAAGGAATCCTCATCACAATCAATCAAAGATACTTACCTGATAATTGCAAGATATTATCTCATAATTAATATCTTCAGGATAATTCTTTTCTTATCCGACAGATGCTCACTTGGCCAATCGGAAGCCACCGCGTGTAGAATAGAACCCTACCATGGCCGACCATCTCTTTATAAATCTTCATCAACACCACATGCTGGTAAGTTTTTGCAATGCACTTAAGCCCTCAACACTCACTGTTTTTCAAAGTTACTAACTTAGGTATCAGAGATATATCGCCTAAATCCCCTCCCCTCACCTCGTAAGCGTGTGAGGCTTTGTCCTTGACCAAATGTTTTTATTGTTTTGTAGACATAATTTCATCATGACTAAAGATGGTGGATTTTTTTAATCACACATAATGCTTATAGGACCATGATTTTTTTAAGTTTGGAGTAAGGTGGATTGAAATACGCCTAACTCAGAAGTCTGGTTATAGGCTCAATTGCCTCAATTGCAAAGCTGACTAAACGGGTCAGTGATGCCACTATCATCCTATTCGGAATCAATGGGTGAAGCCTGTCAACTTCGCTAAGATAAACCATGGTTGTTTTGTAAGATTCAGGAACATAATCCAGCAAGGAATCCACAGGTTTCCTATGATCTTGGAGTTCTTACAATCTAAAGATTGGCGTGCAGTGCAATTAATCACACTCCTAAGAGGATGCAATATCTTCTTCCTAGATATCCTTCAGGATTTTCTCGATTTAATAAGGATTCTACCATCCTAAAAGGTCATCTCCTCGACTGGTATAAATACACTTTTCTAGAGTTCATCTCTGGTAAAACAATCTTTGCATACTTATTCTCTTATCCACTGCTTGAGTCTTAATATTGCTTACTAACTTAATAGTCGGAGAGCCTTTGACTGGCACACCCTTCTGGTCTTTGGCTTGCTTTTTGTGTGTTCTTTTACAAGTAAACGAGTTTGGGCATCTACATCGTGAAATAAACTATTGAAGTGTCTGCCAACTCGAAGGGAGTAACATCTTGGATCACCAGTACTTTATCATTGAGAGGAGCATTGGGGCTTTCTGATCTTTTTTTTTTTTTATTTTATAAGGTTTGCCACTAACAAATTTCTTTGTGGCACTTTCAAAACGTTTCATTTTCTTCTTTTCCAACCTTGAGGTTTCTATGACCTTCTTTAGATCCTTCTCGTCTTTAGCATTCATTGCGTTAACCCAAGACAAATTTTGGATAGAATGGTTGGTGCACAGAGCAGTGATGGTGTCCCTCCCATGCTCTCTTGTTCTCTTTGGGGTTGTGAGCCATTTTCAATTCCAGTGTTCAAGAGGGATAATTTTGAAGGCCTTATCAATTAACTGAAGGTGGCATTGGCTGATAATTATACTGTCGTTGCAGCTGAGGCCAGTGGATGAAATATTTCGAATTTTGGGTCTGAAAATATCTCCTTGAAATAATCAAGACATCTTTATACTGGCCGATAATAATCAAGACATCTTTATACTAGTCTTTGTTGTGGCGCAGCAAGTCAGTTATGTAGGCTAGTCATCTAACTTTGGGTCTCCATTGAAATAAGTAATGTGGATCGGAGATTTTGTGCATGGTATAAAACATGCAAAATTCTTGGATACCCAGCTGCTCCCCATACAAGTTATTCAAAAGCTTGAAACAAGTGAGGATGCAAAATGACACGAGAGTCAAGTTGTAGAGAGCAACATCGAAGTAGCTCAACACTTGTTTCAAGAAGAGAGAGGGAAAATTTCAAACCCAAGTTTAAGTAAGAGGGGTTTTTGGTGCATGGACACTCAGGATCAAAACGTTTAGGGAAAGGATTTTCAACATCATGATCACCTTCCTATTTAACAATTCAACCGTTTAGAAGATGCTAACGGAGACTAACAAAAAATTTTACTTCTCCCTCACTTCGTACCCTCACCATTGGAGGCTTAAATTGAGAATCATAGTTATCGGCATGAGCATGAAGTTCGTTTGGGGGTGCAACCATTGATTCGGATGAAAGCATTCAAAGAAATCAAGCATATAGATGTGGAATGGTGGAAATTTCATACTTGATTTATAGAGGGAAAGTTGAAGACCTTTTCTAAAGAGTTTGGGAATTTGTGAAGGCCAAAAAAATAAATCTAAGGATATTTAAAAGAAGTATTTCAAAATCACCTATATGTTGAATACGGATTGTCATTAGCAAATTCAACGGCTGGATTTGGTTAGAGAAAGCAATGGATAGAACTTTGTTTTTTGGGCACATGCAACTGCTACACTCTTCATCATTGCGATATTGAATGCACGATTCACAAAGTAGTGTGCTTGTATACGGATTGGCTCGATGTCCAAAGGTTTGCAATGAACAAAGCTAAGACACCACACGTTTTAAGGAAGAGAAGAGAACGGTTTGTATTCCGACTTACTTCGAAAGACATGGTCTTTAGGTAGCTATCCATCTTCAAGGGGATGCAATATCTACTTCCTAAATATCCTCTGAGATTCTCCCGGTTTACCTTAGTTATGTCATAGTTATGTCACAATCGTCTTGTTCCAGAATCAGTGGGTGAAATCTGTTGACTTTGTTAAGATAAACCATGTTTGTTTCACAAGATTTGGGAACCTAATCTAATAAGGAATCAACACTTCCTATAATATTGAAGCCCTTATAATCTAAGGATTGGCGTGCATCGAAAGTAATCACACTTTAAAGATAATGCAATATCTATTTCCTAGATATCATTTGTGATTCTCCCTATTTAGTAAGGATTCTACTATCCTAAAAGGTCCTCTCCTCGACTGGTTAAATACACCATTCTTGGGTTCATTCCTGGTAATGTAATCTCTGCATACTTATACTTTTCTGCTTGAGTCATAATATTGCTTTACTAACATGATCGTTAGACAGCCCTTGACTGGCACCCTCTTTCTGCGATCTTTGGCTTGCCCACGGTTTGTGTTCTTTTACAAGTTAACAAGTTTGAATATCTCCATCACTTACTGCGGGGCGCAAATTTGATTCCAACAGAAAAGATAAAGTAGTTTGTTCCTTTACATTTATCACTTTTTTTCTTCCCTTCTCATCATTATTTATGTTAGAATTTTTTTTTTTTTTTTACAATGATATATTACTTTCAAATAATCTTAATTGCAAGAAGATGGATTCGAACTTGGATGTACAAACAAGAGAATTTCTATTTTAATCAATATGGTTATGTCCACGTATACATGCTAAAAGAACTTTTACCTAAACAAGCTGCATGCTAATACCAACAAACAAAAATATGCATGCAAAAGTCGTATGGTCCATAATAACCAAAATTCTAATGTAATCAATAACCCTAAACCTTGACTGCGACTATAAAATCGAAGCCAGACCGTTATAGAACTCATCCCATCTTGCATAAAGAACAGGTAAAACAATTGACGGGTTTATCGACTCCAACGATTCAACTCTACATAAAAGCGAACATTAACCTTGATTGACTTTTTATTTACAAACATAAGATAATCTGCACGAGATTCATCTAAACTACGAGGAGGTATAATGATTTGAATTCAGATGTTATCGTTTGAACCCAGAATATAGTGGTTTGAACTCTATTCATTAAGACAATCGACCACTACAAATATCTTGATTTGATTTGGTAGGCAAACAGATCAGCACATTGCAACAAAATCCTTTAGAGTGGTGATGCATCGAAGTTTAAGGAATATAAGAGATATTGAAAAAATGATAGAACGAAGGAGCTAAAATTCTTTGATTCAGTTTAAGCTTTTGATGGGACAAGTATTTACCTATATTTTTCAGGTCTTGGCAAAACTTGCTGCAACTATTTCCCTATCAAGCCCCACCAAAAGCCTTAATTATATATTAATTATTTTTCTTTGAATGGAAATACGAGCAGATCTTTTCTACCAACGTTACCATATCAAGTGATCCGGATCTTTGAAATTTCATCAAACAGCAAAAAATTATTATAGCTTTTAAAGGGTTAGAATAGGTGACCGTTGAATGAAATTTCAAATATCCAGATCACTTAATTGATAACCTTAAATGAAAAGATCCGGAGAATATCTCTTATGTAGAAATACTTTGAATGTTTTTAGATAAAAAAATATATATAAATACATAGAGACAGGAAAGAAAGAAAAACACAGACAGACAGTCAGACAGTCAGACAATCACCGAAGAAAAAAATATTAAGAAACTAAACTAGAAAGTAAAAAAATTATATAGTTAATTGAGAGTGAATAATAGAGAGTGATGGAGCAGAGTCAAAGGAAGTTGCAACCTTTTGAAAAAGGAAAAAACAAGAGAGAGAAAGTAAAGAGAGAAAGACCGAATGAAATGGGGGAGGCATCAGAATCATATTACTCATGACAATGAACACACCAAGTGCTCATCTCTCTCCTCCACTTCCCCACTTTCTTCAATACCCAACAGACCATCCATATCTCTCTAACTCTTTCTCTCTCTAGGGTTTTCACTCTCGCGTGTTACTACCACCATTGCCTCCACCGCACTTCTCCTGCGGGTATGTTTCTCTCTCCCTCCCTCCCTCTCCCTCTCCTTAATCCATATCTGGTTTGCTTTGCGTTATCTAATCTGGGATTTTTTTTTTTTTTTTATGATTCTTTCACTGCCTCTCATTGTCTAATTTGGTTTGGTTTGCCGTTTAATTTTTGTTTAAATTTAGTTTGTTGATTGATCGATTTATGCGTTCAGTGGACGAGAAATTGTGGAGTGGAAAGTGGTTTACTTTTTGTCATTGTGTAGAATTTGGTGTTGAATTTATTGGATCGTAAAGTAGGATTCTTTTTCCTCAGTTTGGAGTTTTCGGAATTGGTGTGTTAGGGTTTGCTTGTCTAATTGATTGCAGTACCAATGTGAGAAAATAGTAAATTTGAGATGAAAAATTTTCTGTTTAATTGTGGTTACCGTTACAACTGGAAAATGCTGCAGGTTTCTTGCTTGGTATGCAGATTCTACAGATGTTTCTTTTTTCCCAAAACATTGTGTCAAAGTCACTTGTAGGGAGTCTTTATTCGCACGTGTTTGTAAGAACATTGGGCTGAAGCCACTTTGTAGGAACTCTTTATTTGTTTTCCTAATCTAGTGATCCTTCTGAAAACAAAAGGGTGCAAGTTTATGAATTGTTTACGTGATACTTCGCTGTTGACTGGTTTTATTTCAAGAACATTGTACCGAAGCCACTTGTAGGAAATCTTTATTTGTTTTCCTAATCTAGTTATTTTTTCTCAAAATAAAAGGCGCAAGTTTATGCATTTGATCATGTGATACTTTACACGTGCTTGTATTGAGTAATTTTTAAGTACAACATTGGCGGCATACTCAGGGATCATGGGTACATAACCAGGCCTTAATCTATGAACGCAAATGTTAAACTTCTGGTGACATTGTCAGGTTCATCTTTGGCTGCAACTTTGGAGAGTTCGGAGTTAGTTGGGTCGCATGCAAAGATTACATCGCTTTTATGTTAGAGAAGCATAAATTATCAGGAAATGGAAAGAAAGCGAAGACTTTATGGGGATGTATAGTTTTGGCTGTGTTTATGGGTAATCTGGACGGAAAGGAATAGGATAATTTTGAGGATTTTGTAGGTATAAGCAGAGGGGAGTTATGGGAGAAAGTTTGATTTTGGTTTCATTATGAGCTTCAGTTTCTACAGAATTTAAGATGTGTCCATCTAGTTATTGGCTTGATTGGAAAGCTGCTATCAATTAGCTTTATGAGTTTTCATAGATGCTTCTTTTTAGGGGGATTTCGTTTTGCTTTGCTGATTGTTTTTCAGTTTCTTTGTGGGCATCCTGTCCACCTGTGTAATTTGATTGTCATAAGCAAGAAAATGATCTTTCTTTCTCAAAAAAGAAAACATTTGACCAGGACCTAGGTGTCCTAGTATTACTCATGTTCTTGACCATACATGTTTGTGATTTTCTGCTATCATCTGAATGAGAACTTGGCATTGGAAACTAAATGCTTTGCATTTATGCTTTATAATTGGTTTAAACTAGATACTTATTGAGGATATGTTTTCAGTTATACTTGGTTAATTGACTGGTTTTGGTTTTTTGTCAATGCAGGAAGCCTGCATTTCTCTATGTGGTAATCAATCATGCATGGGAATGGAGAATTTTTTATGAGACTCTTGTTTGCAGAATTTTGTTCGCTTTTGTAATTGGGAGATAGAATGCACATATAAAGACCGATTAACTGGTTTGACATTAGTTAAGCGATACAAATGGAGTTTGTAAGGTCATGGTTTAAAAGATTCAAGTCCAAGGAGCAAGTGAAGTCGTCAAAGAACAAGGATACTACAGGACATGGGAAAGAGGGTTCAAAAACCCCAACAACTGAAGAAGTGCCTTCAAATGTAACCAAGCAGAGGGTTGCAGCTGCAAAGCAGTATATAGAGGATCATTACAAGAAGCAGATGAAAAGTTTGCAGGAGAGGAAGGAGCGGTATGAGTTTAATATTTCTCTTTGTAATGGTGGTGTTAGACAGGGTACACTGTCTGACACTACCTACTAAACTAGTTAATGCTTGAGTGGTACCTGATTGTTTAGTTTTCTCCATTTTTATGACTTGGAGTAATGGTAGATCATGCTTTTAATACAGACGTAATATACTAGAAAAGAAGTTGGCTGATGCTGATGTCTCTGAGGAAGAGCAAAGCAACTTGCTAAAGTACTTGGAGAAGAAAGAAACAGAATATATGCGTATTCAGAGGCATAAAATGGGCGCTGATGATTTCGAGCCACTGACAATGATAGGAAAGGGTGCATTTGGAGAGGTATATCTTTTCTTTTTTAAAATGCGGTACTCTGTCATTTTTGTCCTGTTGTATCCACTTACCACGTCTTTCTGTGTGCATATTATATTTGACCATTTGAGGGGTGTTCCATCTTCCTCTTCTATCTTTTTTTAAGGGTATTACTGGAGGAATAGTCAGGACTCAGGAGAATAAATTTATAAGCTTTAGTTGCATTATGGCGTTGGTTTGGCAATTGTGGCATTGTGTGTGGGTTAGGTCTCATGTGTCAAAGCAACTTGGGGTTAGTGGCAAACCCATCACCGTACCTGGAGTTGGTTCTCATGTGTCATATTAACTCTAGTTAGCAGCCACCTATGAATGTGTATGAAATGATGGGCTGTTGCATGTACATGCTTAGATTGCATGGAGTTGCAACTTGATGGTTCATCTGACTGTTTTTGGCATATATAACTCATCTTCAGAAGTAAAAGTGGCCATTATGCCTTACAACGTCCGACCTGTTCCTTTCTCTGATACAGGTTAGAATCTGTAGGGAGAAAGCAACTGGCCACGTATATGCAATGAAGAAGCTTAAGAAATCAGAGATGCTTCGGAGAGGCCAGGTATACATTCTCTCAAACCTTGTTTTTTAATCTAGTTTAGTTTTTCTTCGCTGGGCTTAGTACAATAGATATCTTTCTGTTTAGGTTGAACATGTGAAAGCTGAGAGGAATCTACTTGCGGAGGTTGAGAGTAATTGTATTGTCAAGCTCTATTGTTCGTTCCAGGATGAAGAGTACTTGTATCTAATTATGGAATATCTTCCTGGTGGGGATATGATGACTTTATTGATGCGCAAGGATACACTGACAGAAGATGAGGCTAGATTTTATATTGGGGAAACCATCCTAGCTATTGAGTCCATTCATAAGCATAATTACATTCATAGGTAAATTGATGTTAATGTGATGATCTGATTATACATATATGCTGTATATATAGATACCTTGTTATCTAATTCTTACATCTTACCATGATGAATAATTCTTCTTTGTTAATGTGTTACAGAGATATTAAGCCTGACAATTTGCTGCTGGATAGAAATGGTCACATGAAATTATCAGATTTTGGATTATGTAAACCATTAGACTGCAGCATACTTCAAGAAAAGGATTTTTCTGTGGGAAAAAATCTTAGCGGGGCTCTTCAAAGTGATGGACGCCCTGCACCACCAAAGCGTACACAACAGGAGCAACTGCAGCATTGGCAGAGAAACCGGAGGATGCTTGTAAGTTCTAATGTCATGTTCTTAATATGCCTATCGTGATTATAGTATTGGCATCGATAATACAAATTCAGCGTGCTCTTGTTAAGTCTTTACTGTGGAGGATTGGTATCCTATGTGCCATTATTGTAAATGTTTAAACTCTAGAGCTTATCATTTCTAGTTGACAACTTTTGATCATGTCAATACTTCATCGTAATGCATCATAGATCTTAGTTATACCTGACCTGGTCTATCTTAAATGGCATTCCTTCATTTTCTCATCAGTACACAGAAGTATCTATATAATTTTAATATACCTAGAGACATCTCAATTGTCACTGTGTTTTGGAATTTTCAAACCATTTTTCATGTTGCAGGCATATTCTACTGTTGGAACCCCAGACTACATTGCCCCAGAAGTTTTGCTGAAGAAAGGATATGGAATGGAATGTGATTGGTCAGTGTATAAGAATTGACTATATTTTTCAAATTTGTATCTCTTCTTGTAATTCAGCTGAGATATTGTTAATACTGTTCTAGGTGGTCTCTTGGGGCTATCATGTATGAAATGCTTGTGGGATATCCACCCTTTTATTCAGATGAACCCATGTCAACTTGTAGAAAGGTAATTTCAAGAGTACTTGTTTTTATTTTTCATTGGATACATCAGCACTACTGTGCCATGCCTTTAGGGGTTATGTGCAGTAGACACGACACACAATGAAAGTTATTCACACAGAATTGTTTCAAAAACTACGTCACACAATGATAGGGTACCTTCAATGTATAATATAACTAAAGTAGCAAGGATGAAAGGTTTCTCCCATGTTGCTTATGTTGTCCTCCATTTTAGAGGGATTGGTAGTTACAGTCAATTGGCGCATTACAGTCCTACTTGAAACTGTCTTCGTTGGTTGTCTTCTGATCCTTGTAGAATCTCTTCATCCCTATGTTTCCCCGTTTTTATTAATGGCAATTGCTTTTATCTATTTTAAATGTCTGTGCTCTTTTCTGGCCTTCAATTTATCTCATAATTGCTGTCTTGCTGCTACTTATTCTGCTTATTTTTGTTCGTATTGGCATCTATGGTTGTAAAGTACCTCTTTTCTGAATTATCCAGATAGTTAACTGGAGAACGCATCTGAAATTTCCTGAAGAAGCTAAACTGTCTCTGGAGGCGAAAAATCTCATTAGTAAACTGTTATGTAATGTTGATCAGAGGCTTGGAACTAAAGGGGCAGATGAAATAAAGGTGTCGTGTGGTGTGTTCTATTCTAGATTCTCTAATCTACTGCTACAATTGGACTGGAAATTGCTAGAATGAACTAGTTGGAACTGTTATTTTCAGGCTCACTCTTGGTTTAAAGGCGTTGAATGGGACAAATTGTACCAAATGAAGGCTGCATTTATTCCCGAGGTCAATGATGAGTTGGATACCCAAAATTTTGAGAAGTTTGAGGAGGTAGATATTTAGTTTCGTGTATGTTTGTGTATGTATCCATAGCGTTATTAGCCATTCTTGGGCATATTTTTCCTTATCCTTATTTTCCGATGGTAGGGAGACAACCAGATTGAAAGTTCAACGAGAGCTGGTCCATGGAGAAAGGTTGGTACTATAGTTTCAGTTGTGTGCATTTTGAAGCTAGAGCTCCACTCTTGTAAGATTTATGTCGGTGGCTCACATTAAACTTCAGCTGCTTGAGAATTTTGACTTTTGATGTAGATGCTGTCTTCTAAAGATGTCAACTTTGTGGGTTACACATACAAGAACTTTGAAATTGTAAACGATAACCAATTGCCTGGGATTGGTATTGTCTTCCATCCTTTATATAGCTTATTATATATGCACTCCTTAAAACAACTTTTCTTAATTGTATGCGCTAATATTTTCAGCTGAATTGAAGAAGAGCACAAAACCTAAGCGGCCTTCCGTCAAGTCTCTTTTTGGTAAGATCTTCTAGTAAGTTCATTTTCTTGTTCAAATGAAATAACATCCGTCATTTGGCAGTGGTTAGTAGCCAGTGAGCATTGTCGTGTCTGGTGCTTCAAGTTAATCTGACAGGAAGTTTGAAATAAACCAGAGTCAAATTCACATGCGAGTTTATTCACATTCTCGGTTTCAAGTCCATTATCCAAAATACTGCCAAGGTGTTTTTTCACGCATAATACACATGAAAGAGTTGTTCAAAAGTCTTAGCTTTTTAGATATTTAATAATTTGCAAGCCCCCAAGCCTTACTTTGTAATTGATGAAAATAATGAGACGACCCCCTTTTCTGGATTCTTTCTATTTTTGTTATTTCACTTGTTATATATGATTTCTGTTTCTTATTGTCTGAAACATCAGCTTCTCCATTGATTTTCTCTTTTATAATCTCCCAAACATAATGAACATTGACTTGGTTTCTTGACAGACAATGAGTCTGCGACGGCGGCCAATCAACCTGTTCAAGGAAGCTTTATGAAACTCCTCCCTCCCCAACTAGAAGTCCCCGAGAAACAAACAGAGTGACTCGCGGTGAAGTATGCTAGTTTCTCGCATAACTTTCAGTGGCTGTAGAGATCCAACCAAATAGTGTTTTTTGGTGATTAATTTATCCGTAGATCTGTTGATCGGGGGCAAAGGCCTCAGAAACAAATCGTTTTTTTTACATATGTTCTGCAAAGTATATATTCTTTGAAATGGTTGTGTATTCTTTACTCTTACTCCCTTTTGTTAAGATTCAAAAATCGTGTACAATTTGTGACATATTTGTTCATGGGTAGTGATTATCATACCAATGTGATATAAAGAATGAGTAATTTGGAAGCGCCATTGATGGTTGACAAGCCTGAGCTTTCGTTTCGGTTTTGTTCCATCTCCGTTCAATTTCGTTCCGATTTCTTTTTGTTTTTCATTTGATTCGACGATCTGGTTTATGTTTGATTGCGTAGGCGACAGCGGTGTTGTGGGAAGTAGGGATGGGCAAAATACTCACGGGGTATAGGTAACCAGTTACTCAGTCCATTTAAAACTTATAGTTATGGTTATGGGTAACCGTTTAAAAAAATAAATGGTTATGGGCTTTATGGGATTTAATGATTCGAAAGAGAGAGATTCATCCTTTTACGGTCTATCTGTTTACCCATGAATTTTAAATGAATGGTCATGGGTATTATGCGCGTGCAAAAGACATTTTTTGAATCACGGCGTGCTATGCATGACTACTTATTTTTTTAATCACATTATTGCTAGCTCATTGTGAGGCTAAGCTCATCCTCTCTCCCTTAGTGTAGATAATATCATTTGTTCAAAAAAAAAAAAAACAAAAACAATCATTTGACAACTAATTGAATCACATTATTACGCGCGGTTTTTTATAACCGGCAATATGTCTTTTACGATGTTTTGAACATGTTTAAAAATAAATAAAATGATGTTTAATAAACAACTGATTGAATCACATTATTACTAGCTAATTATGAGCCCCAATTATAAAAATAAAATAAAAAAATGCACAAAAAAAAAGAATTATAAAAACACTGTTTATATGACGAAAATATACTTTCATTATTTGATGCATTATTTTGGGCTACTTTTGAACATTTTTGTTTGGGGAGCATTTTTGTCCCATTATTTTTGGTGAAGCCCGTGTTGGCTTTATATTGCTAGCTCATTGTAAGGTTTAATTATAAAAATAAAAAAAATAAAAAAACTGCACGAAAAAATTAATTATAAAAAACACTGTTTATATGACGAAAATATCCATGTATTATTTTGGGTTGCTTTTGAACTTTTTCGTTTGATGGGCATTTTTATCCCATTATTTTTGGTGAAGCCTGTGACCCCAAATGGGGTTGGTGGCTTTATATAGTAGTACAGATTACAAATGAAAGCTCGGGGGAATGTATTAAAAATGCAGTGACGAACCTAAGCAAATTGTAGGACATAAAGACATGGTGGTATTTAAGATTGCTGCAAATTACGAAGCATTTATGCCCTTGTGTTGATATTTCTCCTCAATTCTTAGCAAATTTATTAAAAATATCGTTCATTGAGCTAGTAAACAAATCAATTATCAGTATTAAGTCATATAGACAGGTGGCATGATCTCAACTGTACAAGTGTCGTAATCTTATAAGTCTAGTTAGTTAGGAGGTTGCTTAATCATTAAGTTTCCTACAAACTATATATAGATGTTGAGGTATCCTTTTGTAACTAATTCATTCAGTTAAGTAATACAATTGATATCTTTCTTTGACTTCTCTCTCTAAAACTTCATAGCTTCTCTGTTAAGCTTTCACAATGTTGTTAATTTATCCGTAGATCTGTTATTTTCGGTGATTAATTTATCCGTAGATTTGTTGATCGGGGGCAAAGGCCTCAGAAACAAATCGTTTTTTTTACATATGTTCTGCAAAGTATATATTCTTTGAAATGGTTGTGTATTCTTTACTCTTAGTCCCTTTTGTTAAGATTCAAAAATCCGTGTACAATTTGTGACATATTTGTTCATGGGTAGTGATTATCATACCAATGTGATATAAAGAATGAGTAATTTGGAAGCGCCATTGATGGTTGACAAGCCTCAGCTTTCGTTTCGGTTTTGTTCCGTCTCCATTCAATTTCGTTCCGATTTCTTTTTGTTTTTCATTTGATTCGACGATCTGGTTTATGTTTGATTGCGTAGGTGACAGTGGCGTTGTGGGAAGTAGGGATGGGCAAAATACTCACGGGTATAGGTAACCAATTACTCATGCATTTAAAACTCATAATTATGGTTATGGGTAACTGTTTAAAAAAATAAATGGTTATGGGTTTTATGGGATTTAATGATTCGAAAGAGAGAATTCATCCTTTTACGGTCTATCTGTTTACCCATGAATTTTAAATGAATGGTCATGGGTATTATGCGCGTGCAAAAGATATTTTTTGAATCACGGCGTGCTACGCATGATTACACATTTTTTGAATCACATTATTGCTAGCTCATTGTGAGGATAAGCCCACCCCTCCCCTTTAGTGTAGATAATATCATTTGTTCAAAAAAAAAAAAAACAATCATTTGACAACTAATTGAATCACATTATTATGCGCATGTTTTTATAACCGGCGATATGTCTTTTACGATGTTTTGAACATGTTTAAAAATAAATAAAATGATGTTTAATAAACAACTGATTGAATCTCATTATTACTAGTTAATTATGAGGTCTAATTCTAAAAATAAAATAAAAAACTGCACAAAAAAAAAAAGAATTATAAAAACACTGTTTATATGACGAAAATACACTTGCATTATTTAATGCATTATTTTGGGCTACTTTTGAACATATTTGTTTGGGGAGCATTTTTGTCCCATTATTTTTTGGTGAAGCCCGTGATCCCAAATGGGGCTGTTGGCTTTATATTGCTAGTTCATTGTAAGGTTTAATTATAAAAATATAAAATATAAAAAAATTGCACAAAAAAATTAATTATAAAAAACACTGTTTATACGATGAAAATATCCATGTATTATTTTGGGTTGCTTTTGAACTTTTTCATTTGATGGGCATTTTTGTCCCATTATTTTTGTTGAAATCTGTGACCCCAAATGGGGTTGGTGGCTTTATATAGTAGTACAGATTACAAATAAAAGCTCGGGGGAATGTATTAAAAATGCAGTGATGAACCTAAGCAAATTATAGGACATAAAGACATGGTGGTATTTAAGATTGCTACAAATTACGAAGCGTTTATGCCCTTGTGTTGATATTTCTCCTCAATTCTTAGCAAATTTATTAAAAATATCGTTCATTGATCTAGTAAACAAATCAATTATCAGTATTAAGTCATATAGACAGGTGACATGATCTCAACTGTATAAGTGTCATAATCTTATGAGTCTAGTTAGTTAGGAGATTACTTAATCATTAAGTTTCCTAAAACTATATATAGCTGTTGAGGTATCCTTTTGTAACTAATTCATTCAGTTAAGTAATACAATTGATATCTTTCTTTGACTTCTCTCTCTAAAACTTCATAGCTTCTCTGTTAAGCTTTCACAATGTTGTTATCATGGTATCGTGAACTCAGGTTTTTCTCAATCCTGGAGCCATGGTGCTAGATTTGGTATTTTTCTATCATCATGGCGATTTACTGCTTTCTTTTACTTCAAGAAGAATCAGGTTTTGGTTTGTTCGACATCCTGATCGTAATCTGTTTGATTTGGTTATAAATATGAGTTTTGTTAAAACATTGAGGCACGAACTTGAAACTTTCCATTCAAGAATTGTGATAGTTGTTCTGACATGAAGATGTGTTCTTGTTGAAGTGTGATTGAGCATATTGATGTGTTATAATTCTGAGCACGAAGCTTTACTCATGTTGATTTCTGGTGAATTGATGAAGTTTGAGCACGAAGCTTATTGCAATATGTGAAAATCCTAAAATTGATAATTCTAGGGCACGAAGCTCTGTAATTTCTGTTTAACAATTAAACGAATTTGTTAGCACAAAGTTGTTTGAAGGTTTTTTTGTGAGCACGAAGCTCTATATTTGTGAACTTGGTTGATTGTGTTGGTTGATATGGCGTCTACACCACTAAAGATTGAGGGTTTACTTGGCATGCTTACTATTTGTTTACAAGATGATAATTTTGGCAAATGGTCATTTCAATTCCGATATGTTTTAGAAGGATATGATCTATTTGACTACTTTGATGGTACAAATACGTGCCCTCCTAAGTATGTGTTATCTCTAGAGCATAGGATTACAAAGGAAATTGCTGCTGCTTATCGTGCGTGGATCAAAACTGATAAAGCTTTGATTAGTCTCTTGATTGCTACTTTGGGAAATGAAGTTATTAAGTATATTGTTGGGAGTAAGACAGCTCATGAAGCTTGGACAAATTTATGTGATTGATATGCAACTGTCTCTTGTGCTCGGATCAATCATCTGAAGATCGAATTGCATACAATCAAGAAGGGGGTGGACATTATTGAGAAGTATCTTCTTAAGCTCAAACATTTGAAGGATCAATTACTTGCTGCAGGAGAAACTGTCTCCAATAATGATCTCATTGTTACTGAACTAGCTGGTCTACCTGCTGAATATAACATAATTTACACAGTGATTGTAGCAAGAGAATCTCCTATCACTATAAAGGAATTTCATGCATAGTTGCTCAGTCCTGAGAAGACCGTTGAAGACTCTCAGGGTTCTACTCTATTTCCAATGTCTGGCATGTATTGTCAAGGAGAATCTTCCAATGCAAGGGGCAATAGACAATTTTACCAAGGAGAGACTTTGACTACTGGAGTAAATGGACAGTTTTATCATGAAGAGTCTTCTAATCAAATTGGTGTGCATTTCAATGGTGGTACTGGATTTATAGGTCAATTTCAGAGGTCTAATGACAATAATTTCAATCAAAACAATGGCTACAATGGAGGGAACAATACTAATAAAGGCAATGATGGAAATCAGTCCAATTCTAACAGGAATTATGGAGGTTTTAATGATAGTTTCAATGGTCCTAGGTACAATTCTAGACCAAGGTTTTGATGGAGGAAACAAAAACAACGGAGGTTTTTCAGGTTCTTCTAGAAACTTTCACTTTAAATGAGGTTCATCTTGGACTAATTAGAGTGGGAATTCAGGGCAAAAATCTACCATTATACCAAAATGCCAAATTTGTAGTAAAATAGGTCATACATCCCCAAACTATTATTACAAGAATGAACAACCATCTGCAACTACTTCTAATATTCCAGAGTGTCAAATCTATGGTAAAAAAGGCCACACTGCATTGAATTGCTTCCACAGATACAACTATGTTTTTCAAGGTGCAA